ACTTTTTTGTTYAGAGTTTGTTTACAGATAAAAGGCCAGTTATGTAGTGGTCGAAAATTAGGTATGAAGAAATTCTCTCAAGCCTGGTCAGTCTGAGAGATCTGACTTAATGAAGACATCCATACTTATGAGAAAGTGTGTTTAGAGGAAATATCACCGCAGAAGATGCTGAATGCTGAAGTTAATTGTTTCCAGGGTAGTATCTTAAAAAATTCATTCTGACTGCCTTAAATTATTTTCTATTTTGAGTTTATAACCTGAAAGCAGTCGACTCAGGATTTGCTGCATGAGCCGTATCTCAATCTTAGCTAAGGAGCCYGCTCATACAGTGACTGTTAATGTACACAGAAGTTGATAACAATTAAAACGAATGTAGCGGTCTCTTATGTAGAGACAGTTACAGCTTTGATTTGTAACAGAAATTACTAAAGCAGAATGCAGCATCTCACACATGCTGAGCKGCTGCTCCACACTGTCTAAATCAGTCAATTTCCAGTATCGAGAGGTCACTTTTAATAAACAGCACCCTTAAGGATGGATACTGRCAAGGGATTCTGCTAGTTATAGTTCTAAATGTAAAAGCAAGCATCTGACCTCCAGAAAACTCCACCAGCATTGTCAAAAAGGGACTTTTTTTTTTTTTTCATAGAAAGACAGTCACTCTGGTCATGTATTATGAATATGGAGTTGCTTTTCACTTCCTATGAGCCCAGTCATTTAAAGTATTTTTTCTACCACTGTTTCTAATTCTTATCCCAGCTTTGCAACTAGTTTCAAAAATTTTTAAAGCTGCCATTCGAAACCACAATTTGTCAACAGAGGAACTTGCAATCATTGAACACCACTGGCATGCTTTTGTGTAGAGGCACAGGTTAGAGGCAACAGGCCCCAGCCAAGCAATTCATTCCCAGAATAGAAGAACAATGATGGCTGGTCAGCCTTGCATTTTGRAACACAGAACAACCTCATGTGCTACTTCATATGCTAAACATATTCCATTTCAACATGTGTGTCAGCACCAGACCTTTATGATTTCTTCACACATAGTACTTTTCAAGGATTATAACAATTAAGCATTTTGTATTTAAGGTGACAGTAAAAGGGCTTGTTAACAAAATGCACTACAGCGTATTATCTGATGTCAGTAACATCACTTTATCAGCTGAACTGAATATTTAAGACTTTCCACTGGAAAACAAAGTTTATCAGAGGATATGTCAAAGCCTAGAAGGTAATGAAATATTGCAAACAAAGAATACCATACAGCATGTAAATTTAATACAGTATTCAGATCACAAGACAGCTAAATTTTTCCACTCTGGTATTTTCCTCAAACTTTGTGCAGGTACCAAAGACAGGGTTTTTCTAATTCCTTTTTAGCCATACTATAAAAACAGGAAAATGGACAGTTCAAAGAAAYGGAATTATCAATTTACTGTAACAACTGTGCACAAGTCAAAGGCCAAGACTGGTACTAACTGAGAGCTTGTCTTTCATTAAACCTTATGTTTCTGCTTGCAACATGAACAGGGTTGTAGGAACAAGTTGGAGCAAGTAGGTCAGAAATCACAAGTCAGTTCAAATTATCTAATGTGGAGTGAAATGCAAGAGCCTTAAAGATGTTACAGAGGATGAAGAAACAGAGTTCTTCAAAGTTAGAACTGCATAGCTGCCTGCCCTTCTATTTGAAATTATTGTAAGAAAAAAATTCACTGAGGCATCCTAATGAGATGTTTCCTCATGAAGTAAAATAATGGTGCTCTCTCATCACACTCTGTTTGATGGGAGATTCTTGTCCAAAAGTAGGAAGAAACAAGAAAAAACAACGGAGTCGACCAAGGCTGCCACAAGCCAGTAGYCTGTTAATGTTGGGCTTCATCCCCCCTCTAAAGTGAGATAAAGGCAGAGTGATAACACAGGACTGACTCCCCAAAATCATGTCAATGCCTGCTTTACGGAATTCATGTAAGACAAGGGAGATGTAAAAAAAATGTTTTGCTTATYCATCATTAGACAGTCTTCACTATAAGCATTCTTTAACTGGTGTACAAGTTACTAGKTCTCTTCTCTACCTAATGAAAGATCCATTCAGACTAAGCAAAAAAAATGCCTCAGTCTTAATAAAGTTACACATTCATTAGCTTTTGATGAATGCCTGCAATCCCYTTCCCTTCCCCAATACTCTCCTTCAAGTACCCCTAGGCTCTAATCACAATATTCTCAGTAATTAAGGTTTTGATTTTAAATTTGTTGAAAGCTGCCTAGAGAGATGTTCTGATTACCAGMTGAGCCTCAAATACAAACAATTTGAGGATTTCCCCTGCTTTCTGGGGAGAATCTGTCAGCAASTTTCAAGATATGATGCCAGTTCAAGTGTTTTGGCCATGTGACAAAGAGTTCTAATCCATTACTTCTTTCATAGGATCACACAGCAAAGCAAAATTCTCTACAGAGCATACCTAGATTGTTTATTTTCCAGCATGTCAATATTTGTACTTTCTCTTGGATTCTGCAACCACGAGCAAGGCAGGGAAAATGCCTGGACAGTTTATTCAAGGAGATGGTATTTAGTACTATGTAACTATCATGCAAGATTGACACTGCTTTAATAATTAACTCCTTCCCACTCCTTCTTTTATAATTAGCACTGGGAAATCAGGTTTGCAGATATAAAACATASGCACAAAATACACATAGAAAGTTAACCTGCATCTCTTTATCTCCTCCAAATTTCAAAACTATTCAGTGAAAAACAGAAAAAAAATCCCAAGCAGTGACATTTCTAAACAACACTGACTCTAGAGCAAGGAAAGGGTTTTAGAAAAGAATTAGTGTATCCTATCCTATCATGAAAAAAATAATTAAACTTCTGTATTTTGCACTTTGAAGTTCATTAGCATTTTGYAGTACAACATGCAAAGAGAGAAACCCCTCAAGAAAATGAAAAAAAGGTGGTTATCATTAAATAGCACAGACTGTCAAGAAAGTTGATCATCTTGCACTGCAAGACTAGGGAGATCATCTGCAAGTAAAATTCATCAGGAAAAGAAGAAAGAATCAATAGCAAGAAGTGTAACTGTGCTCCAAACTGACAGATGTCACTCATTCTTTCTTCAGTCTGTGATCATTATGTCTTAAATTAGCTTCCAAATCACTATTTTTACAAGAAAAATCTTATTGATGTGCATCATAATCAATGAAATCCTTCCTAGTTCATCAACAATGGTACAGCACCAAAAAGTCCACTCTGAARAATGTAAACTAATAACAAATACAAATCACCTCAGGAGAGCAAATGAGCTATAAAAATATWAGGAATGGATGGCATGAAAATCATTTTGATAAAGAAAATTATTTGGCACTCAACACTGGTTTACAACCAGTATCATACTGTTTGGTATACAAATACATTATTCTGTGATATCATTCAAATACATTCCACTCTGCAGTATTATCTCATTAAATTATCAACGGTCAAGTACTTTATGCTMAAAAATTATGAGAGAGCCAACTTAGAAGCTGTAATGGGCATTCAAGTGCTGACTGGATCAATTTGTAGTTTTAAATGTGCACAAAGTTTTATCTGACCTGCCATACTTGTCCTTGTTGAAGCTAGTTTTCTTTTCTCGCTAAACTTAAAAAAACAGTTGACTTGCTCAGAAGATCTCCCATCTCCTCTAATCTTCTTCTTAAATACAAMACTCCCACTGCATCCTTTATTCAGTTGCCTATTCTTCTGTGAACAGTCAAAAAAATAAATTAAAAAAAAAAACAAACAAAAAACATGGAGAGTAGGGGAAATCAGTCAAAAAATACTTTATCAGAGAGGAAATCTGCCCAAGCTGTCTAGACAGATGACTCCTCACAGGACAGAACCAGTGGTGGGAGGACACTACACCCGACAGCCACCTGGACATGTCCCAGGGAACCTGGGCATGGTGACTCTGCCTGACCAGGGGAACCTCCACCACTCTGGGATACTGTAACAGATATTTCACAAAYTCCAAAGCCTACAAGAATGGTAGAATAAGACAAAGGATGGTGACAGTATTACAGCAGATTACAAAAACAAGAGACATTAAATGAAATTTGAAGGTAACACATTTATAAGCTATGGGAAGAAGGAGCCGCTTAACTGGGGAGACATTAACTCTCTATTGCACTTGTAATGTACTACAAATGTATCAATAGAATGCATTATGTGGCTGACAACAAAACAGGGGGGGTCTCCTAAAAGAGAACCAAAAGAAAAATTATTTCTGGGAACAAAGAAGAAACACTCAAAATTACAGAGGGATGTTGGTGAAACTTCAGCAGCATAGCCAGAGGCAGAGGGAAATGGCAAGAAAATAAACATAGAAAAACAGAGTTAGGATGAGAGGAACCTGATATTCAGGAAGGCTCTACCATGTGGTTTCCCTATTCATAAGGCCAGAGCATGCATATTACAGSACAAGGCAAGAACAGCCCTAATTACTTTGCAACTCCGCCTGAACACAAAACAAAACC